TTGCATGGGACATGTTTAATACTAAAATTATTTGTTGTTTAACTGAAATTCACCTTTAGCTGGGGTTCTGTATTTTCTTTCTTTTCTTTTCTTTTTTTTTTTTTTTTTTGAGACAGAGTCTCTCTCTGCTGCCCAGGCTGGAGTACGGTGGTGCGATCTCAGCTCACAGCCACCTCCGCCTCCCAGGTTCAAGTGATTTTCCTGCCTCAGCCTCCCGAATAGCAGGAATTATAAGTGCGTGCCACCACGCCCGGCTAATTTTTGTATTTTTAGTAGAGACAGGGTTTCATCATCTTGGCCAGGCTGGTCTTGAACTCCTGACCTCATGATCCACCCACCTTGGCCTCCCAAAGTGCTGGGATTACAGGCATGAGTCACAGAGCCTGGCCTGGGGTTCTGTATTGTATCTGGCAGCTCTGCCTCCAGGGGATTCTGATTCATGCCGAAATTTGGGAAGCCCCAGCATGGAGGCTTTGCCTAGGTCCAAAGCCCTGTTCTGTCCATTTCAATGATAAAGAAAGTATCTGATCCCCACATTCATTTCCCTGTTACCCTCTTTACCTCCCTGTTTCCCTGTTACCCTCTTACCTCCATCCATCTTGTCTGATTCTCTCTGTTCACTCATTTACATTTCCTGTGCCTGTTCACATTCATGACTTCTTAGTTCTGTCTGTGATTTTATAAAGATAACTCCCAAATAAAAATTGCATGGATCTACTGTTTATTGGTTGTGGCTAACTCAGCCAGAGGTTAGACTGTGCATATTTTGACACAGCAGCTTGCCCAGGTTCATAAGTGCATTTATAAGACCCTTCTGCATCCTGCCTGCGTATGTACACATTAAATAGGTCTAGTTACTGAGAACTATGAACTTGAAGGAAAGGTAAACTCCATGCTTAAAAACGGTAGAAGAACATGCTCTTCATTGATTCTGGGTTGGACTCAGCTGCATGGAACTGTTGATGCTTAAAGAATCTTCAATGTGGGAGGTAGAGGAAATGGTGTATTGTATTGTTATGACAGGTAATAACGAACCACCAAGGTTAACTGGATGATTGACTGAAGGTATTCATTGCCAAGGATCTAAGAGCATTATGTAATATTTTGCCAGCATGTTATACAGAGAAATGGAGATTAAGTATTCTCTATTCTTGGCTGGGCACGGTGGCTCACACCTGTAATCCCAGCACTTTGGGAGCTGAAGCAGGTGGATTGATTGAGCCTAGGAGTTTGAGACCAGCTTGGTCAACATGGCAAAATGCCATCTCTACAAAAAATACAAAAATTAGCCAGGCATAGTGGTGCACACCTGTAGTCCCAGCTGCTCAGGAGGCTAAGGTGGGAGAATGGCTTGAACCCAGGAGGTTGAGGCTGCAGTGAGCTGAGATCATGCCACTGCACTTCAGCTGGGCAACAAAGTGAGACCCCGTCTCAAAAAAAAAATTTTTTTTTTTCAAATATTCTCTATTCTTGTTAATGACACATTTAATTACAAACAGAAAATGTTAGCCCCTAATGTTAGCCCCTAATGTCTGATGAAGGCTTTTTGTTTTTACTTTTTATTTTTATAAGCTCTGTTGGACTTGTGAAAGCTTTTTAAATTTTCTTCTTTTTAAGCAGAATCTGATCAAATATTCAACATAACAGGAAACAGTGCATTTTATGCTTACGGAGAAGAAACTGTAGCGCATCATGATTCAGGTTTTTAATACATTTCTATTTTGCAGATTGGGATGGAGACAGTTATGTTTGGTTTGGACAGTGACCTCAGCGTGATGACTATCTGCCTGGCCTTAATGTTGATTAGGGTTTTCTCATGAAGGATCATTTCAAGATCCATACAACCAAGACTTCAGGACTGTTGGCAAAATAGGAGAAAGTAAGTCATTACGGTGATGCAGACACTCAAACACGTCTGCATCGGGAAACTACTTCATTTGGGTTTATAATGACCACTTTTTTTTTTTTTTTGTGACGGAGTTTTGCTCTTTCACCCAGGCTAGAATGCAGTGGTGCAATCTCAGCTCACTGCAACTTCCTCCTCCCGGGGTTCAAGCGATTCTCCTGCCTCAGCCTCCCAAGTTTACAGGCTCCTTGCTAATTTTTGTATTTTTTTTTTTTTTGAGATGGAGTCTCGCTGTGTCGCCCAGGCTGGAGTGCAGTGGCGCCATCTTGACTCACTGCAAGCTCCGCCTCCCAGGTTCACGCCATTCTCCTGCCTCAGCCTCCTGAGCAGCTGGGACTACAGGTGCCCGCCATGCCCAGCTAAATTTTTGTATTTTTAGTAGAGATGGGGTTTCACTGTGTTAGCCAGGATGGTCTCGATCTCCTAACCTTGTTGATCCGCCTGCCTCGGCCTCCCAAAGTGCTGGGATTACAGGCGTGAGTCACCGCACCCAGTCACCTATTTTTTGTATTTTTAGTAGAGACAGGGTTTCACCGTGTCGGCCAGGCTGGTCTCGAACTCCTGACTTGAGGTGATCCACCCGCCTTGGCCTCTGAAAGTGCTGAGATTACAGGTGTGAGCCACCACACCTGGCTATAATGACCACTTCTTACATAGTAGTCAATATAATGCATTTGATGCATATTGATTTTTATCTTGTAGAAGCAGCCGTTAGACATAAACATGGACAAACCCAATATAGTTGCAGAATAGAATGCAAGTGGGCAAGTCTCAGTGCTGTCAAAATTGGAGTGCTGCTGGCCAGAGCTAGGAGCGGCCGCTGTGCCGGTGACCGAACAGCAGGTGCTGCTGCTCTCACACAGCCCAAGGGCAAATTAAATTGACAAAACAAGAAACGGAGTTTTGAGGTTATTATTTGAAAGTGTAAAGATAAGCAATAAAAGAATCAAAATGAACTGAGGATTTATAGAATAGTAATAAAAGGGAAACTGTAGGATTTTAAAGAAGAACAGAGTTAACCACCAGAAAACACCACAAGTGTTCCCAGCTTTGAAAGTTTTACCTTTTTTTTTTTTTTTGAGTTGGAGTTTTGCTCTTGTTGCCTAGGCTGGAGTGCAATGGTGTGATCTCGGCTCACCACAACCTCCGCCTCCCGGGTTCAAGTGATTCTCCTGCCTCAGCCTCCCGAGTAGCTGGGATTACAGGCATGCGCCAGCACACCCGGCCAACTTTATATTTTTAATAGAGATGGGATTTCTCCATGTTGGTCAGGCTGGTCTCAAACTTCCGACCTCAGGTGATCTGCCCACCTCGGCCTCCTAAAGTGTTGGGGTTACAGGCATGAGCCACTGTGCCCTGCCTAGGAAAGCTTTTCTTTACCAATATATCTGAGTGGTGGGGAGGTGGAGAGGACTGCAATTTAATTGACAACAGAAAGAGGAACAGCAGAAAAGTTTGCTTTCACTGTATTTAGGAGCCCTCCAAAAGGAGTGGCTCCAGGAGCCGCCAGGGGTGAGAGTTCATACATCAGCATCGTAAAAGCGGGGTGGTAAGGACTTCAGGGGAAAGTATGGAAGGTTTTCAGAGGGCTTGCTTACACAGGGTTTAATCTTGGTGTTAACAGGCACCTTGAGAAGGGAGGTATGGCAGCTTCATGATCAGAAATCTGCCTTTAACGAGATATGAGAAGCTCAAAAAAGGCCTCTAGGCTGGGCGCAATGGCTCACCCCTGTAATCCCAGCACTTTGGGAGGCCAAGGCAGGCAGATCCTGACTTGAGGTCAGGAGTTCGAGACCAAATCTGGCCAACATGGTGAAACCCTGTCTCTACTAAAAATACGAAAATTAGCCGGGCATGGTGGGTGTGTACCTGTAATCTCAGCTCCTCGGGAGGCTGAGGCAGGAGAATCGCTTGAACCCAGGAGGCAGAGGTTGCTGTGAGCCAAGATTGCACCACTGCATGCCAGCCTGAGTGACAGAGAGAGACTCCATCCCAGGAAAAAAAAAAGTCTCTAGCTGTGTCTGCTGTATCTCAGATGTCTTCAGTCTAAAGCAGGGATCTCCAACTCCCAGGCCATGGACTGGAGCTCGTCTGTGGCCTGTTAGGAATGGGGCCACACAGCAGGAGGTGAATGGTGGGTGGGTGAGCCAGCATCACCTGTCAGGTCAGCAGCGCCACTAGATTCTCATAGGAGTGGGAACCCTGTTGTGAACTACACATGTGAGGGATCTACGTTGCCTCTTCCTTGTGAGAATGTAACTAACGCCTGATGATCTGAGTTTCATCCTGAAACCGTCCCCCCACCCAACCCTGGGTTAAAAATTGTCTTCCACAAAACTGGTCCCTGGTGCCAAAAAGGTTGGGGACTGCTGGTCTAAAGCGATCTTTATTCCCTCCTGGTGGGTTGTAGGTCCTTTTACTGGGAAGCTGCATTCCAGGTGGGGAGGAGCAAGGCAAAGGAAATTTTCATTGTAAACTTTTCTGTGCAAAAGTTTACAATGTGCAATTTGACTTCCTTCCATGCTTGTAAATTACATCGATCAAAGAGAAAAGGGGAGAAGAGCCCCAGCCCAGCTTGATCCAGTGAGCTGTGGCTGGAAAGGAAGCTCTGGGCAGGGGCTGGGTGTGGTGGTGTTGGGTTCTGTTGGGGGACAGGCCAGGGAAGCTGTGGGACAGATGATGAATGTGATGGGATGCACCAGCAGAGGCCGGCGGGGCCAGCGCATCCCTCCTACCTTCCTCCCTTCTGTGGACACTTGGGGGAAGTCATAGGTGACTAGTGAGTTAATAAATGAGTTACCAATGAGTAATTAGTTACTGATGAGGTTTTAAGGTTGCAATTATTAATGAATCCATGAGTTATTAGAGGAGTGTTAGCTATTAATGAGATGCTCTCTAACTCCAGTTCCTATGGTTCTGTGTTCCAGCTTCTAAAAAGAATAAACGCGGAATCAATTTCCAAATGTTATGCTTTAAAATTGTATCTGTCAAACCTCACAGTTACCTCAAAGAAGACATTTTTAAAAATAAGTGGAATATTCACTGTTGGAAACAAATGCTCGGTGCCACAAAGTGAAACCATCACTCAGGCAAGTTTTCTCAGCAAGGCAATTTACTTCTGCAGAAGGGTGCTTCTTGCATCAATCAAGATCACAGCAGCACACTGAACAAAGGAGGGAAAATGTTTTTATCCCTAACACAGTCTCTACCTCTGTGTCACTCCCCCAGGACTGGGGTCAGACCACACATTCTAAGTTGACCCGATTGGCCATTTGTGAAGACTTTTACAAATAAGGAAGGGAAGGGGGATGTGAGTTACAGTGGTGGGACATGCAGTTTCTGTGGGAAGAATGGGTGCAGAGTGGGTAACCAAGGGAACAGATGTGAGTTATTGATTAGAACTGGCGGGAAGGTTGTTCACAGTAACTAGGGACAAGGAAGCGTGGAGAACAAGGAAGGTGAGTTTGAGAACAAAGAATAAGGAAGTTAACAGACTAAATCTTTGAAGAGGAATTTACCATATCTTATAATTTTCCCCTTTCAATTTTTATAGTCCCTCCTCTTCAAACCTTTTTAACATGTCTTGGCTTTGCTGTTCGACTTGACCCTCTGAAAGGAAAAGCTTATCTGAATAAGGTGGAGGAAAGCTAAGGGAGGTTATAGTACGTGCTGTTTCTATAAGCCTCTGTACTAGCCCACGGATACATGGTATGACACAACACCCAACAAGAATGAGTACACCTATTATGGCTGCAAGAGAAGTAAGAATTGAGTCTGTGATTCCTTTCCATTTACCAAACCACCTTTCTAGCCATCCTGAAAAAGGGTCATTGGCTCCAGAATGTTTAGCTAATTCACTGGATAAAGCAGTAAGGCCTTTTAAGGCCCTTGGTATGCTCCCACTGGGGGCAGTATTGTTTGGGATGAAGGTACAACACTGAGTTTTGATCATAACACAAACTCCACCTTTTTTGGCTAATATCATGTCTAGGGCCATTCTGTTTTCCCAAGCCATCTGGCTAGTAGGCCCTAACTGTTCGGCTATTCCTTTGACAGCATCTCTAGTGTAGTTAATAAACTGCTGCTGGTTATAAAAGATGTAATTTATCCAATCTATATTTTTATTGATAGTTACCCACCAAAGTACTGATTCAAATCCTGCAGCTATCTGGTCTTGAGCTTTGAATTTGTCTAGTACTCCTGTGGGACTCCAACTGTGTCTAAATAAACTTGAGAGTCAAAAGACCCCTAAGGGGCTTCTCTTATTTTATGGTGGTGTGGCTTTTTCTGGTTGAAGAAATGAAAGGGCGAAAGGGACAGCCAATTGTACAAGAGCATGAGTACCACTCCAGTTACTTGGCAGAGTATCCAGTAAGGGTCCATCACAATACCACCATACATCCGCTCAAGGATGACTAAGGGCAGACTGATGGGTAAGCTCTTGGAATGGCTTAAGCTCACTACATCCTGTTAAACTTCCAAGGAATGCCAAGTTCTCCCTTGTCATTAAAGACATGAGGTGAAACTGACATTGGGAGACGGAAGCTGGATGACCCTTGGGGGCTGACCCGCAGGGTGTTGAACTTCAGGATAGAGCAGAGAGACAGCTTGGCATGATTTATTGCCCCAAACTGTAGAATCCTGGAAGAGAGCTACCATACAGCCTATGCTTGGTCGACTGGAGGACCATCTGAGTAGAAAGAGGACAATCTGGGCCTCTGGCCTGCTGTGCGCACAAGCATAACAATTGCTTTTGTTTAAAGTGTGTACGGAATATTTAATCCATTCCATCAGGCATTTGCATCTTGATATCCTGTTTCAATTGCTAAAGTTTGTTTTAGGTCATTTACTTCTACAATATCTATTTTGGTTTTATCTTTGGGTGGAGGAAGAACAGAACATTGGGGGATAGTGTAGAAGGAGATGTAGGAGGTGAATGAATAATAAAACATATCTCAAAAGATCCAATAAGATGTGTCCCTGCTATTTTGGCTCCCATGCCATATAAGCAACTTAAAGTAGGTTTAGGGTCAGTAGAAGTGGGAATGAGAATAGAAACCAATGAGAATTACATTGGTTATACTGGCAGTTGTGGGAGGTACTTCCTTTAGTGAAGCAAATGTATGGTTTTAAGGACACACAACCACCTGTTGATGAGGTCCAGCCTTGATAGTCAGTTGTCCACATAACATCATTCCAGCTATGGCAGACCTGTTTTCCTGCATTCGTTAAGGAACAAGGGTCTTGATAGGGGGAGCCTTTTATCTTAAAGGGGCAGAGATATTTCTCTGAGGCTGAGTGTTGCTTTTGACTTTGGAGATCTCCACAGGGTATAACAAGACATGCATCAAAGGTAATAGTTTGGGGTGAGCTTGACGTGGTTACATTAATAATGAGGTGGTCAGCCATAGAATGAGGAAAGAAGAAGGAGTAGTAGAATAGATGAAAGAGAGTTAAACTTTTCTTAGCATTAGTTTGGTAGGGTTTTCCCCTGGGATAACGGCTCCTGACTCCAGAGGTGGTGGTGCTTTCTTGACTCAGGTGTGATGGGTCCATCCTTTTTCTGCTCTCTGGACTGCGGTTTCAGTGGTTAGAAGCAGCAGGTAAGGTCCTTCCCAGGCTGGTTCGAGTTTCTCCTCTTTCCAGCTTTTGATGAGGACATGATCCCCAGGCTGATGTTGATGTACTGAGAACTCCAGGGGCAGTGCCTGTGTTAGGAGACCTTTGGTTTTAAGAAAAGAGAAAGTAGAATCTGTCTGATGTAAGGTTTTTATTTTTACTTTTTATTTTTATAAGCTCTGTTGGACTTGAGAAAGCTTTTTAAATTTTCTTTTTTTTAAGCAGAATCTGAATATTCAATATAACAGGAAACAGTGCATTTTATGCTTAAGGAAAAGAAACTGTAGCATATCATGATTCAGGCTTTTAATACATTTCTATTTTGCAGATTGGGATTGAGACAGTTATGTTTGGTTTGGACAGTGACCCCAGCATGATGATTATCTGCATGTCCTTAATGTTGATCAGGGTTGTTCTCATGAAAGATCATTTCAAGATCCATACAACCAAGATTTCAGGACTGTTGGCAAAATAGGGGAAAGTAAGTCACTATGGTGATGCAGACACTCAACATCTGCATCGGGAAACTACTTCACGTGGGTTTATAACAACCCCCCCCCTTTTTTTTTTTTGAGACGGAGTTTTGCTCTTTCACCCAGGCTGGAGTGCAATGGCGAGATCTCGGCTCACTGCAACCTCTGCCTCCTGGGTTCAAGTGATTCTCCTGCCCCAGTCTCCCAAGTAGCTGAAATTACAGGCACCCAGCTACTTTTTGTATTTTTAGTAGAGACAGGGTTTCACCATATTGGCCAGGCTGGTCTCAAACTCTTGACCTCAGGTGATCCACCTGCCTTGGCCTCCAAAAGTGCTGGGATTACAGATGTGAGCCACCGTGCCTGGCTTAGATGATTTCTTCACGGCATATATCATTAAAAATGTATCCCAAACACTAGACATTAAATGGGAATATCATACTCCTTGGTACCCACCTTCATCAGGTAGGGTAGAAAGGATGAATCAGACCCTGAAGAACCACTTAACCAAATTAGTTCTAGAAACTCTGTTGCCATGGATTAAATGTCTTCCTATTGCCTTGTTAAGAATCTGAACTGTCCCTTGGAAAGATATTGGCCTTTCTTCTTATGAGATGCTCTATGGATTGCCTTATTTACACTCCACCGCTAACATTCCTACATTTGAAACAAAAGACCAATTTCTCAAGAATTATATACTTGGTCTCTCCTCTACTTTCTCTTTAGAAGGCCTGGGAAATGAAGGCCTAGGTACCCTAGTTGGAGGCTTGGGTCCTTTGAACAGGGGTCTGGACCCTTTATAGTTTTTGGCCCCCTGGAGACCTTGTTTAGAAGCATATGGGTTTGGAGCCATCTGCTGGAAAGCAGATAACACGAATTCTGCCTTTTGTTTCTGCTTTTCTTCATCTCTCCTCACATAAACTTTTTGAGCTTCTCTGAGAAGTTCACTTAGGGGTTGGTTTTCCCAGTCTTCTAATTTTTGTAACTTTAAAAAAATGTCTGGCCAACTTTTAGTGACAAAATGTAGCTTTAACATTCCCTGTCCAAGGAGAGCTTCCAAATTTAGGCCTGCGTACTGTCTCATTTGCTCCTTTAGCCTGTCTAAGAATTTCATAGGCCCATCATCTTTTTCCTGTTGTATATTAAATGCTTTAGAGAGGTTTGGGGTTCGGGGTACTGATTCTCTAATTCCTTTTATTATCATTTCCCATAGGTCTTGCATATTTTCTCAGTGAGCTGCATTATTATTGTCCCACTTGGGGTCTTGGGTGGGAAATTTTTTATCTGCAGTAGGACGTTTTGACCAGGAGGGTGTTCACGTTCCCAAATTGCCATAGCAGCCCCACAGATTATGCTTCTTTATTCCCCTGAAAAGACAATACCTTGGTTGGACATTAACTTGACCCAAGTGTATAACTGAGGTCCCAGTAATTGATCGACTTGATCTGACACCCCATAAGGGTCACCTAACAATGGCTTTGGTTCCTTTTTCAAACTTAGGACTTCTGAACTAGTTAAGGGAGCATTCACAAAGCCAATAGCTCCCCCTCCTTGTGGCACTTCTTTTAAGGGGAAGAGGGTAGGGGTTGACTCCTTAGGTATGGAGGGAAATGGGAAATTCTGGATATTCTTTTTACATTGTTATACTTCATGCTGGAGTCCTTTTAGGGAGGAGTACTTAGGCTGGGAGGGAACAGGCTCATGGGATGATGATTCCAAAGAATCAGGATTGTAAGGAGGAGGAATCATGTGAGCGGGGGAAGGATCTGGAGGGGGATCCAGGACAGCAGCAGCTGCCTGAGGGTAAGGTTTAGGGGCACTGAGTAGGGGAAGATGGTCTAGGGGATCCCATGTGCTGGAGTCTTTAGGCATGGGAGCTGGCTTTCTGACTCTTCATTTTGAGGTGCTAGATTGGGTTTTTCCCTAGTTGTCTTTCAGGGAAAGAGGAGGACAGGTCCCTGCCTCCAACAAAGAGCATAGTCCAGTTCTTCTTGAGAAACCAGGCTTTTATCATTTACATATTGAATTAGAAGTTGACACATCACATGGTCATTCAACCCAAGCTTTGGCCAGAAGATTGAGGGTTTGAGGACGGGTCCCTGAGTCCAAATAAAATAGCAATATTTTATCATTTGTTGCCTTTTCTTATGTTTAGTCCTCTCATTATCTTTCCAATATTTCAACATGAGACCTAGGGAACTATCAGGGAGAATATCTTTATTGCTATCTTTATCCTTTTTACTCCCTGTCTTGCTTGGTGTATTTCCCATGTTGGGTCCTAGTTAGGCTCAATCTCTTGTATTAGAGACTTCTTACCTATTCTTCTCTGGAGGCTTGCTGATGTTCAATCTCTCATACTAAAGACTTCTTGCCTATTTTTCTCTGGAGGCTTGCTGAGGCTGAATCCCTTGTATTAGAGATTTCTTGCCTATCCTTTTGCCCCACCTGCTGGAGGCTCCTTACACCCTTCTCCCTTCACTTCATCTGCTCTGGCCACTTCCCTCATGCAGATGTTTCAGGCCCCTCTAAGCATTGATGGTGAGTCCCCTGCTGGGACCCCCAAAGGGCCACCCTAAGACATATGAGGTGACTATGGAACCACAGATTGGACTCACTTGCTCTGCACAGCAGTCGTGCTTGTTACCATTCACGCACTTTAAACCTCCAGAATATCCCGACAACCAAGGAAGTACTTTGTTGCTGCTGCGACGTTTCTTACCTTAGTCTGTGCACGGAGTTATCTGGTCGCCATGGTGTTGCAAGCCTTTTTCTCCTCACGTTGCTGAGACTCCGGGTTTATTTGTTGCACTGGGTGGGTCCTGATCCCTCACCCTGAGGCCGTCTAAACAAGGCAGTCGGACGTGTCTCCTCACGAGAGTTGACTGGAGACCCCTTAACTGGAGGAGAATGGGGATCCTGGATGAGCCCCCATATTTGTTAGAAACAAATGCTCGGTGCCCATAAAGTGAAACCAGCACTCAGGCAAAAGTTTTCTCAGCAAGGCAATTTACTTCTGCAGACGGGTGCTGCCTGCATCAATCATGATCGCAAGAGCACACTGAACAAAGGAGGGAAAGGATTTTTATCCCTAATGCAGTCCCTACCTCTGTGTCACTCCCCCAGGGGCTAGGGTCAGACCACACATTCTAAGTTGACCTGATTGGCTATTTGTGAATACTTTTCCAAATAAGGAAGGGAAGGGGGATGTGAGTTACAGTGGCGGGACATGCAGTTTCAGTGGGAAGAATGGGTGCAGAGTGGGTAACCAAGGGAAAGATGTGAGTTATTGATTAGAATTGGCGAGAAGGTTGTTCACAGTAACGAGAGGCAAGGAGGCATGGAGAACAAGGAAGATGAGTTTGAGAACAAAGAATAAGGAACTTAACAGGCTAAATCTCTGAAGAGGAATTTATTGTATCTTACATTCACCATCCATCCATTGCTCAGCAGAAAGCCTGTGCTTGGCTCAGGGGTTATGCTATGAGTGCCCACGAAGGCTCTCAGGCATTGGGACATCAGGCGGCAAGTACACATGGTAGCCCCAGGTGTGAAAATGCCCAAGGAGAACATCAAGAGAGGCCACGCTCTCAGCCACCACCTCCAGAGACAATGGTTAAAGAGAGCTGGCTCACTGGATTAGTCAGGTTTCTCCAGAGAAACAGAGATAAGATGATCTATCTATCTATCTATCTATCTATCTATCTATCTATCTACCTACCTACCTACCTACCTACCTATCTGAATGTAAACCAAATATAAAGTCTAAGCCTCCTAACTGACTGAATGGGTCAGTGGCCAAAGGGATTCCAAAGACATGGGAAAAACGAGTTCAGGTCATGATGGGAAGGGAGGAGGGGTCAGATGTTCCTCATTATACTCCCTCCCTTTTGGAGGTTAGAAAAACTGACCAGTATTATCATTAAAATAGAAATCCAAGACTTACAACACAGATTCTGTGTAGGAAATGAGATACCCACTCCAAACTTGGTGGTATAACGTCCCATGACAGATAACAGGCCCTAAAGGAAATCAAAGTATTTTACTCCAAAATTTACTTTTCTTTGACACATTTTGAAATGGCTCTGTAAAGCCATTGTGTGTGTGTGTGTGTGTGTGTGTGTGTGTGTGTGTGTGTGTGAAATGGAGTTTCACTCTTGTTGCCCAGGCTGGAGTGCAGCGGTGTGATCTTGGCTCACTGCAATCTCCCCCTCCCAGGTTCAAGTGATTCTCCTTTCTCAGCCTTCTGAGTAGCTGGGATTACAGGCACCTGCCACCACAACTGGCTAATTTTTTGTATTTTTAGTAGAGATGGGGTTTCATCACATTGGCCAGGCTGGTCTTGAACTCCTGACCTCAAGTGATCCACCCGCCTTGGCCTCCCAAAGTGCTGGGATTACAGGCATGAGCCACCATGCCCTGCAAAGCCATTTCTTGTGGGGAAAATCTACACTCTGTAGAAAATCCACTTCCCTTTCCAGGTCTTTTCCTGATCCAGGAGAGATTTAATTAAGAGTCTGGCACTTTTTAAGGTCTGAGAAGAGACTGTTACCATCTATTATCTCTGAAGCATGCTACCTGGAGGCTCCATCTATATAACAAGAACCGTGGCTTCTACAGTCCCCCTTATCTTAATCCCAAGCATTTCTTTCTGCTGACTTCAACCCTTCAGTCAAAGTTTAACTCTTCCAACTAATTTGCAATCAGGAAATCTTTGAATCCGCCCTATGACCTGGAAGCATCTTGTTTCTAGATATTTTGCCTTTCCAAGCTGAACCAATGTATAGCTTACTTGCATTAATTGATGTCTTTGCCTATAACTTCTCTCTCCCTAAAATGTATAAAATCAAGCTTTAACCCAACCACCTTGGGCACAAGTTCTCAGAACCACCTGAGGATCATGATCCTCACGTTTGTCTCAGAATAAACCTTTTCAAATATTTTACAGAATTTGGCTTTTTTCATCAGTCTATCTATCTATCTATCTATCTATCTATCTATCTATCTATCTATCTATCTGTCTGTCTGTGTGTCTGTCTGTCTGTGTGTCTGTCTGTCTGTCTGTCTGTCTATCTGTGGTGAAAGGAAGATAAATCCTGGGATTTCCAAATCACTAAGCCAAAGGGAAAAGTCAAGCTGGGAACTGCATTAGGCAAACCTGCCTCCCATTTTACTCCTAAATAATTAACTACAAAGATAAAAAAAGCTACATGTCTCCCTAAAATGTATAAAACCACGTTGTACCCCAGCCACCTTGGGCACATGTCATCAGGACCTCCTGAGGCTGTGTAATGGGCACATCCTTAATCTTGGCAAAACAAACTTCCTAAATAGATTGAGAGGTTTATTTTGAGGCACTGGTTCATATGACTGTGGGACTGGCAAGTCTGGAATGTGCAGGGCAGGTGGCAGGCTGAAAACTCAGAGAAGAGTTGAAGCTGCAGCTCGGGCCCAAAAACAGTTTGCTGGCAGAATTCCCTCCTCCATGGGGGAGGTGAGCCTTTTTCTTAAGGCCTTCAATGGATTGCATGAGCCCTGTAGGGGAGGAATAAAATATCTTTCCTCTATCCATCTTAGGGTTCACTGGATGAGGCCCTGCAAATTAGACTAATGAAAGATGGAGAAACAGGAGAGAAACAAACCAAAGTTTGCTAAAGTGTGCTTACACATGCGAGGACTCAGAGATGAGTCATTGAAAAGGGTGGTTAGTACATGTTCTTAGGGCCGGGCACGGTGGCACACACCTGTAATCCCAGTACTTTGGGAAGCTGAGGTGTTACAGGAAAAGGGTCCTGATCCAGACCCCAAGAGAGGGTTCTTGGATCTCGCACAAGAAAGAATTCAGGGTGAGTCCATACAGTAAAGTGAAAGCAAGTTCACTAAGAAACTAAAGGAATAAAGAATGACTACTCCATAGGCTGCTGGTTGCCTATTTTTGTGGTTATTTCTTGATTATATGCTAAACAAGGGGTGCATTATTCATGCCTCCCCTCTTTAGGTCATATAGGGTAACTTCCTGATGTTGCCATGGCATCTGTAAACCATCATGGTGCTGGTGGGAGTGTAGCCGTGAGGATGACCAGAGGTCACTCTTGTGGCTGTCTTGGTTTTTGTGGGGTTTAGCCCACTTCTTTACTGCAAGCTGTTTTATCAGCAAGGTCTTTATGACCTGTATCTTGTGGTGACTTCCTATCTCATTCTGTGACTTAGATTGCCTGACTGTCTGGGAATGCAGGCCAGCAGGTCTCAGCCTTATTTCACCCAGCCCCTATTCAAAATGGAGTTGCTTTGGTTCAAACTCCTTTGACAGAGATAGGTGGATCATTTGAGTCCAGGAGTTCAAGACCACCCTGGGCAACACGGTAAACCCCCGTCTCTACAAAAAAATACAGAAAAATTAGCCGGGCATGGTGGCATGTGCCTGTGGTCTCAGCTACTTGCAGGGCTGAGGCAGGAGGATCACTGAGCCTGAGAGGCGGAGGTTGCAGTGAGCTGAGATCGCATGGGCATTGCAGAGAGTCCATATCGAGCCACAGCACAGCACTCCAGCCTGAGTGACAGAATGGGGCCCTGTCTCAAAAAAAAAAAAAAAAAAAAAAAAAGAACTTGGGCTGAGATTGTTGCATCTCAATAAAGAACAGTAACTTTGTAGAGAATTGACAAGACAAAGGAAAGAGGAGTTAGGCTTTTAGGGGCAGCAAATAGACAAGGTTAATGTCTGGGGAAAAGGCAGGAAAGGGCTTGTGTGAGTAGAGTCTTCCTTGGTGCTCTCTCATCTCAGTGATCTGGCTGTTATCCCCTTCCTGATACAGCAAAGTGGGGAGCACCTTCACAAATGGAAATTTGTGCTCTGTTTTAAGGTAGCGAGTGGGACAGAAGAGAGCTCACCTCGTCTGCTTTTTTTCAGTTGCCTTCAGCTCAAAATGCCCACAGGCTCGATTCTTCAGTACAAGTAGCTACAGGGTGACAGGAGAGAAGGTAACCCAGATGGTTCTGCACGTCTCTGGTTTAGCTACTAAAGGATTGAGTATACAAACAGACAATGGCCAGACTGTATAAAAAAACAGAGCCCTGCCCCACAGTCTGCAGCAAGCTGCCCAGGAAGCCAATGCTTTCTCTACAGGAACCAGCCCAGGTAGGCAGTCCATTACAGGTCAGACTTGTAGGAAGTCAGACTGCTATCTCTAGTGACAATCCAGGAAGCCAACCAATAACTCCTGTAACAGCTGGCCCCAAATGGCCAGGGCTTGATCAGTAACTGACAGCTTCCCATTTTTTGTTCCTGTTTCCAACTTAGGACCAACCAGAGAATGCCAGATATGCTTGTCACATTTGACCTCAACTCCCTCCCACTGTTGATTCTGTATAACAGGAAAGGGGTCAACACATTTGCCAAAAGGCTGCACATGCTTCTGGGAACTGGCTGAGCTCATGGCCTTGGCTAGTCTAGAGGCGCTAGAATGCGCTCCCTGGTCCTGCACACAGACATGGACTTGAAAAGGCCCAGCGCTTCCTGCACCTGGGCCCTCAAACACCTCTTTAAGTGTTTTTTGTTTTGATTTCCTTCCTTCCTTCCTTCCTTCCTTCCTTCCTTCCTTCCTTCCTTCCTTCCTTCCTTCCTTCCTTCCTCCCCCTCCCTCCCCCTCCCTCCCCTTCCCTCCCCTTCCCTTCCCTTCCCTTCCCTCCCCTTCCCTCCCCTTCCCTTCCCTTTCCTTTCCTTTCTGTCTTCTTTCTTTTTTGAGACAGGGTCTCACTCTGTCTCCTAGTGCGGAGTGCAGTGATGTAATCATGACTCACTGCAGGCTCAGCCTCCTAGGCTCCAGCAATTCTCCCACCTCAGGCTCCTGTGTAGCTGGAACCACAGGCATGCATCACCACGCCCAGATAATTTTTTTATTTTTAGACACATGGCCTTGCTATGTTGTGCAGGCTAGTCTAGAACTCCTGGGCTTAAACTATCCTCCCATCTCAGCCTCCCAAGGTACTGGGATTACAGGAGTGAGCCACCATGCCTGACCTGCCATGTGCATTGTAGAATTAGTTTATTGAAATTGAAAAAAACCCACAAAACCTCAACATTTTATTGGTATTCTAGAAACCTTCCAGATTATTTTGGGGGTGAACTGACATCTTTACAATGTTGTTATCCCATCTATGGACAAGGTCTATTTCTCCATTTACTTACTCCTTTTTTTTTTTTTTTACTCTGTCCCCTAGGTTGGAGTGCAGTGGTGCAATCTTGGCTTGCTACAACCTCTGCCTCCCAGGTTCAAGCGATTCTCCTGCCTCAGCGTCCCAAGTAGCTGGGACTACAAGTGCATGCCACCATGCCTGGCTAATTTTTGTATTTTTAGTAGAGATGGGGTTTCACCATGCTGGCCAGGCTGGTCTTGCACTTCTGACCTCAGGTGATCCACCTGCCTCAGCCTCCCAAAGTGCTGGGATTACAGGCATGAGCCACCATGCCCAGCCCACCCTACTCAGTCTTTTACAACCTTTTTAGACTTTCAAAATTGACTCCATTAATATCATGTACTTTTTGGGATTGGTTAATTCCTACCTGCTTTATAATTTTACACAGTTGTACATTTGTGAAGAGGAACACTAGTGATTTTTTTTTTTTTTTTTGAGATGGAGTCTTACCCTGTCACTCAGGCTGGAGTGCAATGGTGCAATCTCAGCTCACTGTAACCTCCGCCTCCCAGGTTCAAGCGATTCTCCTGCCTCAGCCTCCTGAGTAGTTGGGATTACAGGTGTGTGCCACCATGCCTGGCAATTTTTTTTTTTTTTTTTTTTTTTTTTTTTTTTTGTATCTTTATGTAGAGATGGAATCTCACCATGTGCTTGAGCTGGTCTCAAACTCCTGATCCTCGTGATCTAACCATATTGGCCAGGCTGGTCTCAAACTCCTGATCTCGTGATCTGCCAACCTCGGCCTCCCAAAGTGCTGGGATTACAGGCGTGAGCCACTGCACCTGGCCCCACACTAGTGATGTTTATGAGTTAATATTATTCCTGGAAACCTTTATAAACTCTTCTAAATTTTTTTTTTTTTTTTGAGACAGGGTCTCACTATGTTGCCCAGACTAGAATGCAGTGGCACAATCATGCAGCCTCAACCTCTTGGGCTCAGGTGATCCTCCCACCTCACCCTCCCAGGTAGCTGGTACTACAGGTGTGCACCACCACACACCTGGCCAATTTTTTGCAAAGATGGGGTTTCTCCATGTTGTCCATGCTAGTCTCAAGCTCCTGGGCTCAAGCAATTTGCCCACCTCAGCCTCCCAAAGTGGTGGGATTACAGGCATGAGCTGTGATTTGGCCTTACCTCTTCTAATAGTTTTAATACATTACATGTTGTTATGTTGAGATTTATATGTAAACTATCACAACTCCTGCAAATAATGACAGTTTTCTCTTTTTCTTTTCCAATACTCATTTGGATGGCAACTTTAATTTCTTAATGTCTTGTAACATTGGGTAACACCCCCGGTACTACATTGAAAAGTAGCACTAACAATAGGCATAATTGTTTTGCTTCCAGTCTGAAGGACAGTCATCTGAAATTTCTGAATTATCTATTTTTGTTGTTGTTGTTGTTGTTGTTGTGTTTTTTAAAAATGTAATGTTTATCAAGGTGAGGACATTTCTTATTTTTTATATTCTGAGAGTGTATTAATTTAAATCATAAATAGGCATTGAGGAAACACATTAAGAGAAAGACCTGCCACTCAGGAACCAGGGAATCTGACCCAGGAGGGACTCACAGGGGATTCCTGGGATGATGGCAAGGGAGGAGCTGGAGGGCATGGGGCTGGCCCGGAGCACTGCTGACAGTGTAGATTAGTGACATGCCGATGGCGTGACCTCGGCTGTATTTCCTCCGCCTGGCCTCACTTCATTCTCAACTACTTTCAAAGCCTTATTTCTCTGGCCTTTCCATTGGCTTTAGTGGCTCACCAATAGCCCTCCAATACCTTCAATAAATTTCCTTAGGATTGCCAGGAACATTTTCTATTAACTGCACCAAAAACTTAAGTAATACAGAAAATGAGTTACGGAAAGCAAACTGTTAAGGAAATGTGGGTTGTGTGGGCTTAGCTGTCTGACTCAGTAGTCACAAAAGGTAATGAAAATCCACTTAGTATTTAGGGACACAATGCTGGCATGGCATTGGACAGCTTAAGGAAAGAGAAAAAGAAACTTCAAAGTCTTACATTCTGAAATTGAGGCACAAAGTGTAACCCAGGGTCCTTTTGAAATGATAAAGTTCAGTCCTGCAGGTTGCTGAATTGTAAAGCCCATTGAGTTTACAGAATCTTAGTATCACTTAGGTGAAGGTTAGAGCATTGCTCAAAACTCTTAAGAAATTAGATTAGATCTAGAAGAGAAGCCAGAGCATCCAGACTGCTCTCAACCCCGCGTCCCCTTGCCCCCAGGCCCTCCTTACTAGCTCACATCCTGCCCTCTTCATATAACCCGAACTTCTTTCCTTGCAGAAGACCCTGAAGGTCTCTTGCTCAAGCAAGTTCCATTGCATGAAGAAGTGGCTCCTCACTCACCAGTCCTTGCATGTTACCCTGATGATCTCTGAACTATCTTTGATTACACTCAGATCTTCACATGCCTAGGAAATCAACCACAAAGTCAAATCCTAGAATAGGCCAATCTGGGCAACTAAGTGAGACCCCGTGTCAAAAAAAAAAAAAAAGTCGTTACAATAGAAGACTCTTGATAGCTTCCCTCACCATTGGCAAAAAAGCCAAAAGCAATAGCAAATCCATGAGGGAAATTCAGAGGATGTTGGCCGTTAGTGACCAAAGATGCATGGATGTTGATTCCTGTCGTAGTTCTATTTAACCTCCAGTTTGACGAGCATGAAAAGTGGATGGATGGTGGATAATGACAGTGGCTTATGACTCATTAATAATCACAGTTGCTTTTCCAGATGTGAGCTTTGTAGTGGAGCAAATCAAAACACCCTCAGGCGTATAGAATGCAGCTACACATAAGGAAATATTTTTTTCTTAATCCCAAATTAACAGGAAACAACCGAGAGGGTTTTTTTGACCACGAAGCACATCTTCCGTGTCTTGCCTTGAGGGCTTCAGGGGTCTGGCTCTCCCCAGCCATCTGCTGTGCACATCCCACAGGACACCATCTGAGACCTGCACCACCCTGCCCTTGAACATCCTTGCAAGTAAGGTTGTATGAGATAAATGAGAATGGTCCCACACTTTGAGAAGAATTTGGGTTTGGCTTACACACACACGAGTCTCTGCCATGCCCCACCGTGAATGGAGCTGTCAAGAATCCGGTGGACGAGATGACCCACTTGACAAAATGGGTCAGCTGCTAACCCAGTGCTCATGGATAAGATGTCAAGGAAGGCACTGCCCAATCGCTGGTGTTAGCCATGATTAATTCTGCGACTGACCTCAGAATCTGAGGCAGAATCATGACAAAATTAGAGGAAAAGAATGGACCTCAGCCGGCAAGTAGCAGAAAGATATACATGGATGTGGGACAGGGAGCGGTTACTGTAGGGTACATTTTTGTGGCTACCTAGTAGAAACATTCATCCTGTGCTGGATAATTCCCTGATTTCGGGAGAACTGGCCCTTTCCTCCCAGGATGGCATGGAGTGGGCCAGATGCTTCCTGCCACAGTCTCTGGACCACCGCCTGTGGTGTGTCCTCCTGGGACTCGAATCTTGAGGGAGTGATGGAAAGATGGGGACAGTAATGTTATTCATTGGTAGTGGCAGCAGCCAGGCCAAGGGTCCAGGGCCTGTGTGCCCAACGGTCTCCACTTGACCCCTACAGTGTGAGCATGACTGCCTGGCCCCTCTTCCTTCCCTACTTCTTCTTTTATTTATTTATTTTTTTATTGAGACAAAGTTTTGCTCTTGTTGCCCAGGCTGGAGTGCAATGGCGCATCTCAGCTCACCGCAAACTCCGCTTCCTGGGTTCACGTGATTCTCCTGCCTCAGCCTCCTGAGTAGCTGGGATTACAGGCATGCGCCACCATGTCCAGTTAATTTTTGTATTTTCAGTAGAGGTGGGGTTTCTCCATGTTGGTCAGGCTAGTCTCAAACACCCAACCTCAGGTGATCCATCTGCTTCAGGCTCCTAAAGTGCTGGAATTACAGGCATGAACCACTGTGCCTGGCCCCTTCCCTACTACTTAAACTGGGGAGAGGTAGTGGGAATGACTCACCCTAGGTGAAGGCAGTAAGAGGATACATTCTCAGTAAAGAATTTCAAAGGCTGTCCTGCAGTCTTTCCACGTTCTGTGAGCTACCATGTCTCTTTTAAAAAATATCTCTTTTGGTGGGGCTAGTCTCAAACACCCAACCTCAGGTGATCCATCTGCCTCAGCCTCCCAAAGTGCTGGTGGCTCATGCCTGTAATCCCAGCACTTTGGGAGGCAGAGGTGGGTGGATCACTTGAGGTGGGGAGTTCAAGATCAGCCTGGCCAACATGGTGAAATCCCATCTCTACTAAAAATACAAAAATTAGCCATGTGTGGTGGCACATGCCTGTAGTCCCAGCTACTCAAGAGGCTGAGGTGGGAGAATCTCTTGAACTCAGGAGGGAGATTGTAGTGAGCCGAGATCATACCACTGCACTCCAGACTGGGCAACAGAGTGAGACATTGTCTCAAAAAAACAAAACAAAACATAACAAAACCTCTTTTTATGATCAAGCCAACCGGTTGTTTTCTGAGGTATGCAGAAAAGAACCCAATACTGTGCATTTTTCTATCTTCAGAGTGATCACCTAGGTATGAATTTTTATGAAGAAACTTTTGTTTGATCTACAGAAATTCCTTACATTTGACTTGTTTCATTTTCTTCTATTAAATTCCAGAAAATTGCCGGGCATGGTGGCTCATGCCTGTAATCCCAGCACTTTGGGAGGCCGAGGTGGGCGGATCACCTGAGGTCAGGAGTTCGAGACCAGCCTGACCAACATGGAGAAACCCTGTCTCTACTAAAAATACAAAATTAGCTGGGCGTGGTGGCACACGCCTGTAATCCCAGCTACTAGGGAGGCTGAGGCAGGAGATTTGCTTGAACATGGGAGGTGGAGGTTGTGGTGAGCCGAGATTGCGCTATTGCACTCCAACCTGGGCAACAAGAGCAAAACTCTGTCTCAAAAAAAAAATTAAAATAATAATAATAATAATAATAATAATAAATTCCAGAAAATTAAATTCGAGAACTTTATTTAAAAATTGCATACATAATATAATCTGATTTTTGTGAACAATTTTTTATTCTTCTATCTGTGTTTAGGGACGCACTGAATGTTGTTCGCTGGGTGCTACCTAATACTGTTGTTGGCTGATGGGAGTTAGGATGATGGTTTATGTTCTTTGTGTTTTTTTCTGTTATCACCTGTATTTTTAAAAAATAATCAATTATTTGAAATAAATAATAATGTTAAAAAAGCATATTCTCAAAAATTTAATAATGTGAAAGAAAGTAGATTGCAAAATTGCAGGCTAATGCCTGTAATCCCAGCACTTTAGCAGGCTGAGGTGAGTGGATCACTTGAGGCCAGGAGTTCAAAACCAGGCCTGGCCAACATGGCAAAACCCCATCTCTACTAGAAATACAAAAATTATCCGGGTGTGGTAGTATGTACCTGTAGTCCCAGCTACTCAGGAGGTTGAAGCAGGAGAATCGCTTGAACCCTGGAGGCGGAGGTTGCAGTGAGCTGAGATGGTGCCACTGCACTCCAGCCTGGGCGACAGAGCGAGACTCCGTCTCAAAAAATCAAAACAAAACAAACCTGCATATTATGCTATTATACAATTATGTAAAGAAAAACGATTGGGAATAATTACATTTAAATATTTCTAGTTATTTCAGAGAATTGAGAATTTAGGTGAATTTCTTTTTTTCTTTTTGAGACTGGGTCTGGCTCTGTCACCCAGTCTGATGTACAGTGGCATAATCTTGGCTCATTGTAACCTCCACCCACCGAGCTCAAGCTATCCTCCCACCTCAGCCTCCCCAGTAGCTGGGACCACAGGCATGAACCACCATGCCAGGCTATTTTTGTTTTGCTTTGTTTTGTTTTAATAAAGACAGGGTCTCGCCATGTTGCTCAGGCTGGTCTCGAACTCCTGACCTCAAATAATCCACCCACCTCACCTCGGCCTCCCAAAGTGCTGGGATTACAGGCATGAGTCACTGCACCTGGCCTAAAGGTGATTTTTAAAATAGCTTTTATAGATTCTAAGTTTTAAAAAGTTAATATATGTATTACTCCTTTGTATTAGGTCAGGATTTTCCCGAGAAATGGAAGCAATAGGATGTGTGTATATATAGAAAGAGATTTATTATAAAAAAAAAATTGGTTCATACAATTGTGGAGGCTGAGAAGTCCCAAGATCTGAATCAGCAAGCGGGAGACCCAGGAGAGCTGGTGGGATATATAGTCTCAATCCAAAGGCCGGAGAAGACTGATGCCGCCCCTTGAAAGGCAGGCAGGCAGAGAGAGCACATTCAACCTTCATCCACCCTTTTGTTCAACTGAGGCACTCAACAGATTGATTTGATGATCCCACATTGGGAAGGGGCAACTGCTTCCCTCTGTCCACCAATGCAAATGCTAATCTCATCTGCAAACACCCTCACAGACACACCCAGAATAATGTTTAACCAAATATCTGGGTACCCCACGGCCCAGGCAAGTTGACAAATAAAATTAACCATCACACTCATTATAATGGAAAAAAAAAAAAAAAAAGGCACTGAAAAGACACAGAGTGATCTTTCAAAAGAAGCATTTGGACAAGTTGAGTGGCTGCTTATTTGAACATTTTTACAAAGTGTGGAGGGAGGGAACCACATGTTGAGACCTTTCTCAGGACATCAGTAAATATTCTAGATAACCTCACATCTTTGTGTTTGTGGAGGGTATTCAATATGAGAAGTGGCGAGGCAGAGAGTCCTGGGATCCAAGCAACCTCTGTTTTGATTTTAGTATCTTCTGTTCATGGAGTTGCCAGGGTCAGCCTGCTACAGCACTGGGTACTTTTTTAGATGTGTGGAGGGGGTATGACTCCTGTCTCCAGATGAAGAAACGAAAGGTCCAACACAAGTAAAGACAGAAGATTTAAACCCAAGTTTGAATCAGCATTTGAAAGGAAAATAAAGACTGGTTGCTGGGGTGGTTGAGAGCTTGTTTCCTGGGCCTGAAGCTCTATCTCCTGTCTCTCTTGGATGCTGGACAAGAGCCGGTGGAATTTTTCTTTCTAATCAGGGCATTTTTATTGCAACACATACGTACAAAATTGGAATGTATTTTACATATCCTTCAATGGGCTTGAAATATTAATTTCTCGGCTATTTAAGATAAAATTGATCGTAGAAGCTCAGAGAACAAGGTGTAGTGAGTGAAGCAGTGAATTACGCACCCCAGGGCTGCTGTCTACCTCCACTTCCAGGGCAGGTGGAGAACAGCCACTGTGGCAGGGAAGTCTGTCTTTGGCAAAATTCACACCGTCCCATGTCTACTAAATAAAAATCATCTATTAAATCTTGCAACACAGCCATTTTCTTTCAAACAGAGAGTCTTGGGGATTTCCCATACTTAGAATTAAATTAAAATAATCTATCCCGCCAGATGTTCTGCTTTTGTGTCTGGACTATGTGAAATGGTGAGGAGAAGAAGCGTTTCTGCCAAGTGCCAACACATTTTAAACACTGAAGCAAGATAGGCTCTAATTTGCCTTAAGATGCAATATTTTTTATTCAGCCAGGTAAGTTTTTAGATTCTTAGACTAATGGCAAAGAACACATCCCAATTCTTAGCCTTCTTTTTACTACTGGCTACACTAATATGATTTTAAGCACATTTTAACATGTAGCTAGTAAGGTATCCTCCTAATCCACACACTTGGGGTTTTAGCACATTGAATTTCTTCTACAACTTCCCTCCTGGACATGGCCCACTGTCTTCCCCATGGCAAAACCTGTTTACGACAAGTCTTTTATGACACTGAGTACCATTGCTTATGACACTCAGAATTCATGGTTTTGAGATTCAAAAGTCTTTTCTTCCAAACTATTATTTCTGCAGAGACCTTCAAAGTCCATTTTAAGACTCAATGTACTATCTCCATAGGTTTCTCCCACCCCCTCCTCTAGGGCAGTATTCTGTGCAAGAAATGTGCAAGGGGAAAAGAAAAGGTACAGACAATATTTTTAAGGGTAAACAGCCTTTATCCCAAGTATATGGCAATACACATATAATAAGCAAATTATATAATAAGCAAATTACAATGGGAAGGGGAGACAGGAAAAAAAAAAAATATATATATATATATATATTTACACTCACCAGACTATGGAGGATTCATCACCAGACCAGGAAGCAACAACCTGGGCTCCAGAGTCGGCCACCAGTCCGTGCACGATGAGGAGAGTCTCATGAAGCTTTGGCGCAGTCTGGGACCCTAGCTCTCTTTGTAACACGTTGTTTGGCATGAGGCCCAGTCATGAGGGCCCTTTGTGACTGGGCTCAAGGAACACAAAAAGGTCAACTTGTTTTTGCGATTGTCTGTTGTTTTTCAATAAATAACACATAGGAATAGTTTGAAATAGAGATTTCTCTGAAACAGGGCGGGATAAATGCCTCAAGTGACTCATACAACCTGTTCCCGGACTTGGTGACCATTGTTTGTGTCCACATTCAATTCAGTTCAAATTTAATATTTAACTTTTACTCCACAGGCAGGAAGTGAGGATGTCAGCAGGGAAAAAAGGAATGACTGGATATGAAAAACATACTGGCCAATGTGAAACTAGACCAAAAGCATTCTTTGAGTTTTGCCAACTTCATGAGTTTTGAGTTTACTAAAACTCATGAGAATGACTTTACTCAATTTCAGTACTAGCCAAGGACTCCAGGTACCAGAGGCAAGAGAGCCGAAATATGAAGTGAGACTATGTGAAATATAAATGGAGAATAAATTCTTTTTTTTTCTTTTTGGAGATGGAATCTTGCTTGTTGCCCAGACTGGAGTGCAGTGGTGCCATCTCGGCTCACTGCAACCTCGCATCTCCCAGGTTCAAGTGATTCTCCTGCCTCAGCCTCCCGAGTAGCTGGAACTACAGATGCCTGCCACCACACCCGGCTAATTTTTGTATTTTTAGTAGAGATGGGGTTTCACCATGTTGGCCAGGCTGGTCTTGAACTCCTGACCTCGTGATCTGCCCGCCTCGGCCTCCCAAAGTGCTGGGATTACAGGCATGAGCCACCACACCCAGCAGAAAATGCTTTAGTTCAGCATCAAAGCAGGAATTATTACAGCATTTATGGATATTTAATTTTATTTGATACACTTGGATGCAACTTTACTCATCACCATTTTTAAACCCATATTTAAAAGTTTTAAAATTTGGGTAGAGGCAGAAAGAGGAGGTTGAGTTGGAGATGTTGGAGTAGTCAGCAGCTCGGTCATTGGTGCTTGTGGGCTTTGTTTGATCCAGACTTTGACTCTCTCTGGAAAGGGAGGGAGGCTTCGACTCTCTCTGGAAAGGGAGAGAGAGCCACTGCCACCCATGGTTCTGAGCTTGAAGTTGCTAGGACTTCTTTCAAACCTGTGTGCTGAGGAAACTCAGATGTTGGCCTCAGCTCCTAGGCTGAATTCAGCAGATTGGCCCATGAAAAATCCTATATCGAGACAAAGCAAAGGATCTGTCAGAAAGCAACACCTAATGTCCTGGGCTTGACACCAAGGAAAAAGACAGGTAGTGGAAATCCTGCAATCTGAAAAGCAGACAGAAAGGTGACAAAGCAGCTGAAGACAGGTGGTGGAGAGAGGAATAATAACCCTGCTCCTCCATCTAGAAAGGACAGTAAGAATCACCAGTAGCTTAACAGAAGACCAAGGATCAGAATTCCCTGATGAAGACTGTTTGTAAGAAGAAAGAGGACAGGGTTACAACTCATCAGCAACTGCATGGCAAGCCATGCAAGATAAGGGGACTAACAAAACTTTTCCAAATAGTCAAACTGGAACTCTAGTTTATGAAGTCCCAGTTTAAGATCTCAAGTTACAGCCAGGTGCAGTGGCTCACACCTGTAATCCCAGCACTTTGGGAGGCGGAAGCGGGTGGATCATCTGCAGTCAGGAGTTCGAGACCAGCCTGGCCAACATGGTGAAATCCTGTCTCTACTAAAAATACAAAAAATTAGCCAGGCGTGGTGGTGGGCAACTGTAATCCCAGCTACTCGGGAGGCTGAAGCAGGAGAATCGCTTGAACCCGGGAGGCAGAGGTTGCAGTGAGCCAAGATCGTACCATTGCACTCCAGCCTGGGCAACAAGAGTGAAACTTCACCTTAAAAAAAAAAAAAAAAAAAATGAAGCTAACCAGAACGATGCCAGAGCCAAATGCAGTGAGCTGCCATCACCAGGTGTTCTTCCCTAACCACCAAACCACAGGGTTCCTGACATGGTTTGGATCTGTGTCCCTGCCCAAATCTCATGGAGAATTGTAATCACCAGTGTTGGAGGTGGGGCCTAGTGGGAGGTGATTGGATCATGGGGGCAGATTTCCTTCTTGGTGCTGTTCTTGTGATAGTGAGTGAGTTCTCATGAGATCTGGTTGTTTAAAAGTGTGTGACATCTCCCTGCCTTCCTCCCACTCCTGTCATGTGAAGTGCTCACTCTCCCTTTGCTTTCCAACATGATTGTAAGTTCCCTCCCTAGAGGCCTTCCCAGAAGCTGATGCCATCATACTTCCTATACAGCCTGCGGAACTGTGAGTCAATTAAACCTCTTTTCTTTATAAATTACCCGGTCTCAGGTATTTCTTTATGGCAATGCAAAAATGGACTAATACACTTCCTGTTGCCTTTAATCCTTTTTTCTTTAGATAAGAAAATAAGGACATTTCAACCTAAAATCTAAAGTGCAGATATAGGCCAGGCACATTGGCTCATGCCTGTAATCCCAGCACTTTGAGAGGCTGAGACAGGTGGATCATTTAAGGTCAGGAGTTCAAGACCAGCCTGTTCAACATGGTGAAATCCCATCTCTACTAAAAACACAAAAATCAGCTAGGCATAGTGGCACACGCCTGTAATCCCAGCTACTCGGGAGGCTGAGGCACAAGAATTGCTTGAACTCAGGAGGTAGAGGTTGCGGTGAGCCAAGATCATGCCATTGCACTCCAGCCTGGGCAACAAAAGCAAAACTCCATCTCAGAGTGAGACCCTGTCTCAAAAAAAACAGAAAGTGCAGATATAAAATAAGATAAAGTATTTATGTTTAAATTTAATTATGTTTATAGATGTCAATTGGTCTGAAACAAATTCACCAGGGAATTAATCTATTTGCATAGAACTGCTAATTAATGTAAAAACTATGCCCGGATGTGGTGGCTCATGCCTGTCATCCCAGCACTTTGGGAGACCAAGGGAGGCAGGTCACCTGAGGTCAGGAGTTTGAGACCAGCCTGGCCAGCATGGTGAAACCCCATCTCTACTAAAAATACAAAAATTAGCTGGGCATGGTGGCATGTGCCTGTAATCCCAGCCACTTGGGAGGCCGAGGCAGAAGAATCACTTGAACCCAGGAGGTGGAGGTTCCAGTGAGCCGAGATCATGCCACTGCATTCCAGCCTGGATGACAGAGCAAGACTCCATCTCAAAAAACAAACAAACGAACTATATATATACATATCTATCTATCTATACACACACACACACAATTAGACCTCATCTCATTTGCTTTACATGTTGCTTTATGTGTTGGGTGCACTGTGATGTAATGGTAGCATCAGTGCAACTTAAAGTAATTAAATTAATAATTGTACTTGATAGTAAGTGTTCTCAACTGAGTAACTTTTAAGTGAAACCATTCATGTTTAGACATAGGGAGTGGTAAAGGAACCAACTTTTCTATTGAGGAAAATAGTAATAAGATTATCAATCATGGACAGTAAATGGCTGAAAGTTAGTGAATCAGATTATAAGCATCTAGCTAAGAATATAAAGATTGAGAAGTAGGTAAACATCTAAATGTTTAGTATACTAGAAATAGCCAAGACAGTAATATGCCAACAACCTGATGTACTGTAAAATGAAAAGATGAACTTTTCCTAATAGTTGCATTTTAGTAAACTGTACAGTGATGAAGGTGGAAAGGGTACTTGGGGCTCATTAGAATGAGGCACAGTATACCCCAATAGCTCTCTTTCTCAAATGCATTGGATAGGTGTCTGTCAACAAATACACCAAAACTATTTTTATAGGAACATTATTTAATAGTGACTCAACAGCTTTCAAAATACATTTTTGTATTATAGCACTGCACAAGCTATTCTTTTTTTTTTTTTTTTTTTTTTTTTTGAGACAGAGTCTTGCTCTGTCGCCCAAGCTGGAGTGCAGAGGTGCCATCTCAGCTCACTGCAATTTCCCCCTCCAGGGTTCAAGCGTTTCTCGTGCCTCAGCCTCCCAAGTAGCTGAGATAACAGGCACATATCACCACACCTGGCTAATTTTTGTATTTTTAGTAGAGATGGGGTTTTGCCATGTTGGCCAGGGTGGTCTCAAACTCCTGAGCTCAGGTGATCTGCCTACCTGGGCCTCCCAAAGTGCTGGGCTTACAGGCATAAGCCACCATGCCCAGCCTGCACCAGCTATTCTTACGGTGATCTGGCCTCATTGTTTCTGCAAAGCTTGCTTTGGGGAGAGGACACTTACTTTGGGGAGTTGTATAATGTGAAAATTTTAAAAAGTAGGCAAGAAAGAGCCGTGTAAATACATGTAATAAACTTGTAGCATATGTAAAGTTTTCTTGGTCTTTATCCTACAGGAATGAGATATTTTAGTATGAATTTGCTGAATGTAAGAGTGTGGACTGTTTTTTATACTATGGTCTAATTTTAAAGGTCCAAAACAAAGTTTTAAAAAGTTTGCCCTTGTGCTAAAGTGCCAGTGTCTGTATATTATACTTGATTTGGTTATAAACTATATTTCAAAGTAAATCCTAGTGTAATAAGTTTTAGAAGTAAAAAGGCTTCAGTTGCTGAAACACTATTTGTAGGAGATGTGAAATGTAGTGCAGGTCAACTTTTCTTTTCTTTCTGTAAGCCTAAAGATAAACTACTAATGGGTCCTTTCAACCTTAAAGGTTCCCTTTGGCTTTCACCAAGTCTTACAACCTATGATACAAAGATAGTTTACTGTATGGTGCCAGCAGTGTTTGTTTTTCATTTGGTCAAAATAAGTGCAACCCAGGGCACCACTAATGCAAAAGATGTAAACTCTTGTATAATACCTTGATAGGATGTTTCAACAACCTTAAGGGTAAATGCTATATATAAATTAACCCAATAGCAAGTTAAAAAAGTATGTGGGTAAATCTAAAAATTCTGATTGTAACAAAAAGCTGGTTCTTTGACACGATAAAATTCATAGATCATTAGTGAGATTAACCAAGAAAAGAAGAGAGAAGATCCAAATAAGCTCAATTAGAAATGAAACAGGAGGTATTACAGCTGATATTGCAGAAATACAAAAGATTTAAAGGCTGCCTTGAACACCTATATATGCAGAAACTAGAAAACCTAGAGGAAATGGACAAATTCCTGGAAGTATACAACCCTCTTAGATTAAATCAGGAAGAAACAGAAACCCGGAAGAGACCAATAACAAGCAGTGAGATTGAAGCAG